GACTGTATTTATGTCAGAGGGTAACGCTTGTAAGGCTGGGAAAAACGGATAAAAAAACAAAAACTAAGCAAAGGTTTAAGGAGCTGCTTCTTCTACATGCGCAGCTGGTTGCCATAGCAATAATGTAGTCATTTCCTGATAATGTAATAACGCCCAATGATGTAATAAAAACTAATGTAATTATTTGCAATATGTAATAAAATGTCTTAACCAATAATGTTGTAATCTCTACCAATAATGTAATAAATTGTCACATTTACCTTATTTTCGCAGAACTGTAAAAATATCGTAATAACTTGTAGTAGTACGTCACCAATAATGTTAACATTTTTTTTGCAGAACCTGATAATGTAATAATTTCCAAAGAGTCATTATTTTCAATCACGTGTACTAACTTTATTGGTGGCATGTTATTACAATATTTGGAAATTATTACATTATCAGGTTCTGCAAAAACAATGTTAACGTTGACGTGGTCTTGTGTCTACAAAGTGTGACAGACTGAGCAGCCATGAGCAGCTGCTGCCAGACTCTCCGTGATTGACTCTTTGATCGTCACTAGAAACAAACTCATTGCATCGCAGTACGGAGGCTTGAGTTTAGACTCATTTATTACAGATGTGTTCCTCAAGGTCAAGAATGAAATATTGTTTCTCTGAGCTTCATGCATATTTTCTTGTTGTTTGTAGTTGAACATATTTTCTCCTTTTAGTGGAATTTTCATTTAATCTTTATTTTATATCTGTATTCACTATTTTTATTTTCTTTTGATTCTACTTTATTGTGTCAACACATATCAATGATACTTTTCTTATTATTTTCTTGTCTTGACAGTTTTTAACCTTTTTGTTATGTATATTCAATTTGATTCAAATCTATTTCTCAGAAAATTTTAATATCATTGAAAAGGTTTTTTTTTTTCTTGTAATGTTACTCAAAAGTGAAACTTTCATATATTCTAGATTCAATACCCATAAAGTTAAATATTTTAGACCTTTTGTTTTAATCTTGATGATTATGGCCTACAGTTTATGGAAATCCATACTGTAAAATCTTAGAATAAAGAATGTATAATATTTGTTGTTTTTTGTAATAATCTGGAGACTTAGAAGACTCAAGTCGTTTTCAATGTTCTCATTAAATTAGTCGACACAAAGAGAAGCTTTGACTCATCATTTTAAACTGGACGTTCAGTGAATTCTTCCATTCAACGGTATTTGTTGTGGGTTCAGAAAGGATCACAAATTCTCTCAGCATCTTCTAAATCCTGGTCGTGTACAAAGTTCTGATGTGGTTTGTGGCTGCACTATGGCACTGCAGAAAACAATGAAGGGATTGGAGAGGGTCCATAATGGACAATAAATGTCCCCCCATGATGATTACTGGCTAATACATTGATTAAGATTCCCTAGAGCCGGGCACTCTTGGATCGGTGTGAAGAACTGGGTCCAGCAATAGACAGACTATCCCGACAGAACCCGCCATCCCGGTACAAATACACAGGAGTTGCCGACAAATGCGTGTTTAATATAATCAACAATGTATGTCCACCTTTCTAAATTTGCAGCATTTTCTTTTGTTTGTGAACCCGCTGCATCAAACAATATGCGTTCACAAGCACCTTTATTTCTGTGTCAGAGAAAGTCTTTTTTTTTCTCTCCCCTGTAGATTAGGGGTGCAACAACTAATCGAAGTAGTCGACAAAATCGATTAATTAATTATCGATTTGTTCATGACGTCATCGGGCCATAGCGACACCGTCGGCTTAATAGAGTAAAGTTATGTGAACAGTAACGTTAAGTTACTAAAGCAACATCAGAGCTGCAGTAACACCTTCACATCCTGAAACCTCCAGAGTGTGGCAGTATTTCACTGTTCACTCAGCCAGAAAGGCCGTGAACTGCAGCAAAGCAGACAGTAGATGGATGTACCAGTGTCCCCGTTTTCTGCAGCTCCCACCTGATGTTGTTACAACAAAGAAATAATTTCCTTATTTTTTTGTGCTAGGTTTATTGATAGATATGTATAAATACAGATATGTATGTATATAAAGTAGTAACAGGAAACTGGTTTGAACTGCTCTGAGAGAAAAAACACAAAGTATGATCTCACATCACCAAGTGGTACGATGGGACAAACATCTCTTCAATGGCGATCTGTAAGTACGATCTGTTCTGTTCACATTTCAGTAACTACACAGTTAGCAGGTGAGCTGAGCTGGAGAAGAATGAAGGTGAGATACAGGATCAAACTGGCTGGAAAACTTAGTTAGACTTAACTTAGTTAAAATTATAAAAACAAAGACAGAAGAGTTTATTGATCAGTGAGGCCAAAACAAGCAATAAAGGACAGAGAGAGTCAGAAGTTACTGAGATTACAGAGAAATGTGACGAGCAAACAGGAAAGAAGATCATTAACAGTTTGTTCAGAAAATTTTCTCACTTCACTCTGATACAACCTTTAAGAGCAGGAAGTAAAATCAGCTTTAAGCTGGATGTTAAAGGCTTAATATGAGTTTACTGGAGTGAGCTGCAGTGTTGGACACTTTAAAAGTTATCTAAGAGGACCAGTCGTCCAGGATGTCCAGACGTACTAACTAACTTGGCATCGATTTGTAACTCATTGGGGGAAGCCACTTGGTGTCACTTATGAACACTAAAAGCTGGTGTAGGATACTTAAAAGAAATGTCAGAGAAAAGGCACAGTTGGGGGGATCTGTGTTTTCCGTGTCAACAAAAGGTCAACACTGATTTTTTTTTGTGAAGTTACTTGTTACATAACAAGTTACAAGAAGTTACTTGTGTTACATAAGTTATGGAACGCGAGTTACGTTTTTATCCCTAACCATGACCTTTTCATGGTTAGGGTCATGGTTTTTCCTGAGATTTAAGATCGTTTGATGTAAGCAGAAACCTGCTTTATACTTTTATCAAGACATTTTAGCCAGTGTTCTTCTTTATGCTGTGCTTTGCTGCGGAGGCAGCATTACTGAAATGAATAAACAGGATCAATACGTTGTTTAAAAAGACTGGCTCTGTGATTGGCCTGGCCCCTGACCCACTGGAGGTCATTATAGAAAAGAGAACAAGTGCCAAACAAAGAATGTCATGGAGCTTGTAGACCGACCACTCCACTGTGTCTTTAAGACACTTACTAATTCCTTTAGTGGCCGACTGAAGATTCCCGTAAGTAGTTTAGAGCCTAAACCTAAAAAATTGTGCCATTTCACAACATTGAACACTAGTGTTGTTTTTTTTAGTCTAACCGGACGTTGCATATTTATTACTGCTAACTTGACTGTGGAGCCCTACATGTCCAAAAATGACACAAAAGGTACCCAGGGCATTAAAAAGCAACAAGGGGTCTTGACCAAGCGTCTATATGTGACGAGTGAGAATGTGTTGCTACAGTTGTTGTGTCTGCAGTAAAACCTCAAACCAACCTGGTGTGATTTCTCTTTAGTTCTGACCTCACTGCTGTGCTCCTGGGTTCCTCACATCTGGGCCGGATCAGGATTCTGTTGCTATAAAGATGAATATAGTGATGCTGGGTAGAGAGGAGAGTCAAACAAAGCCTTTCAGCCTGAAGTGAAGTTACTCTTTAATGAAACCACCATCTTTACTGAACCTTTACTGAGAGCTGCTGAAAAACAAGTTCAACCTGCTGCAGCTGCCACTCGCAGATCATGCAGGAACACAAATGAGACACGCTGACGATGAAAAGTGTTTCTTCATCACGTTGATGAAAATGTGACCCTGCAGCTTTTTGTTTCTCTGTTTCACATCAGCGCTGCCTGAATGTAAGTTTTAGGAAGCAGCGTTGGTTCATGAGTTTCTGAAGTTTTTTTGAGACATAAACATGTTTCCACTGCTCGAGAACTCAGAGAACATATTTAAACCTGAGGCTGTGATTTACAACATGAAACATCTTTGAGTCTTTACTGTCTGCAAATGAAGGAACGAGCTGTAATGAAACCATCACAGAGGCTGCTTCAGGTTCAGGTTTTGGTTTCAGGGTTTCTCCTTTGTTGCACTTAAAGGGTTATTTAGTTTGGAAAAACATGCTAAAGATCATCAGTGTGTCATGTCAACCCTCCAGCCTCTCTGACTGTGAGTCCCAGCAGCTCTCAGCTGTTTGAAGAAGAGTCTGTCTCTCTGAGCTGTGAGGAGGACGACAGCTCTGCTGGATGGACGCTGAGGAGGAACACAACCAGAGGAACCAGGACTCTGGGGAAGATCAGCTGGTTCTTCCTGTTACATGAGCCAAATCTTCCCATGGGACAGTGGAGTTTACTGGTGTGAGTCCAGTAACACCATCAACATCACTGTCACTGGTAAGATCAGACTGTGGAGTTAGTGTTGATGAAGCTGTGTGTAAATGATGAAATGCTGTAGTTTGTCTCTGTGTTGAGGTGGACCAGTGATCCTGCAGAGTCCTGTCCTCCCTGTGATGGAGGGACATGATGTCACTCTGCACTGTAAAACAAAGACCCCTCCCTCCAACCTCCCAGCTGGTTTCTATAAAGATGGCTCCCTCATCAGGACTGAGCCTACAGGTCACATGACCATCCACCATGTTAACAAGTCTGATGAAGGCCTCTACAAGTGTAACATCAGCGGTCGTGGAGAGTCTCCATCTAGCTGGATCTCTGTCACAGGTGAGAGGTTACCTTTGATTTCAGGACTTATTTCACCTGACCAGGTGGATTCTCTCTACAGGTAAACCTACAACCACAGCCCCGCCCACCTCTGTAGCCCCGCCCCCGGCCTCAGTCCCCCTCCAGCTTGTGTTCAGACTGGTCTGCCACCTGGTGGTGTTCTGTCCATACTGCATCTCCACTGTCCTCATGGTGTGTTTATATCGACGCAGGCCCACAGGTAACACTCTGACTCATTCACTGACCTCACAATCAATCAATCAATCATCAGTCTCTCTCTGGTGTTGATCATTGAGTTGTCTCTAACAGAAGCTCTTTTTTCTTTTTTCTTTTTTCTAACCTGCTCTGACTTTAGGAAATGACCTGCCCGTCTCCATGGTGATGATCCCGCCGACCCAGGTTGCGGAGGGATTGGATGATGACTATGATGACGTCATCAGCTGATCAGAGATCAAAGTAGTTCACCCTGCTGATCATTACATGGTTCACTTTAAAAGAGACGTCAGTACAAACTGTTGTTTCTGTGAAGACCATCCAGAAACTGTTTGCAGCTCTCCTGGTTCTGTTTACACACCAGAACATTTTGGCAGATTCATCACTGACCGTGTTTATAAAGACTTTATTGTGGGAGAATGAGGTGTCCACAGGTAACACTCTGATTCATTCACTGACCTCACAATCAATCAATCAATCAATCAACCAATCATCAGACTCTCTTTGATGTTGATAATTGACAGTTGTCTCTAACAGAACTGATTGATGATCTACATTTTCTTTCTGACCTGCTCTGACTGCAGGAAATGACTCTGAATCATTCACTGGCCTTAAATCTTTATTTTAATTGTCCACAAATGTGGAAATTTGTCTTTGGCTTCACAGGCAGATTAAAAAAACAATAAACAAAAAAAACACAATAACTAACACAACATACACACAGACCATAATGGGTAGCAGTCCAGTAAACAAGGGGTGTACAGAGTCAGAAGCAATTTCTCTAACTCTTTGTTTCACCTGCGTTCTATTAATACATCCCAATTGTTTCTGCTCTTTCCCAATAATCTTAACAGCCAAATTTGTAATTCTGCACAATCTGTTTTTGTCCTTAACCCCCAAATTTCAAGTTCAAGTTAGAAGGCTTTCGATGAGACTTCAATAAACACTCTCTAGGCTATTCTTGCATATGTCGTATGAAATTATATCCAATTTCCGCAGAAAGTAGATACAGACGCTGCATTGCTTTTTAAAAATGTACTCTGTGTTGGCTGTAAAACTTAATTTACAATCAAACATGGTTCCTAAGTATTTAACCTCATCAACTATCTCAGCAGGCTTATCGTGAAGCACTGTTGTGTCTCATGATCACTATTGATTCCATTAATAGAGAGATTTGAAATGTTGACTGCTTAGCTGTGTCTCCCATCTGCATAAGACCAACTACCACCATGTCATCAGCATATTTATTCAATTGAGATGTTGGATTCACAATCTGCATTTTGTTTGTATATAAAGAGAACAAAACAGGTGAACGCACACAGCCTTAGGTGCTCCTGAAGTTAAGGTAACTGTATCAGAGAAAATACCACTACTGCACTTCACTCCCTGTGGCTGGTCCGTAAGGAACTCTTCAATGTGGCTGTTGGTGTTTATATCACAAGGTCGCTTAATCGGAGCACATTTCTGCATACAATTATCCAAAGCGACTTACAATTGCTATACATGTCAGAGGTCACACGCCTCTGGAGCAGCTGGGGTTAAGTGTCTTTCTCAGGGACACATTGGTGGATGTCACAGTGGGGGATTGAACCCAGTGGCGCATAATGCAGCGCTCTGTATGCCTCTGAAATGTTATCAAAACATTTATCTAAAGTGCGCGTGTGTCTCATCGGACAGTCAATGTCTGATGGAGCGTGGGGAGATGGCGTGCTAAATCACAGTTGTTAAAATCCCAGAGAATGAACACTGGCTGATCCGGTGACCGTAGGAGTGCAGTGTCTCAGCTATCATTTATCATGCAGCCTCCTGATGTTTTGGTCCAGGCACATATGTCAAGATGATTGGAATCTGTCCAAATTCCCGTGGCAGGTAAATGAGACCGTCAGAATTTCATAGTCCGGGGTACAGATCTGTTCATGGATATACGTAGTCCTCCGGCAATTGATTTATTTGACAGTTGTTCATCTCTGTCTGCCCTAATTATTGCGTAACCTTCAACAGAGAGTGTTGCTTCTGGTTTAAGCCAGGTCTCCATTAAGCATTTAAAATTACAAAATTTTAAATATTCTTCAAACTTCAGTCTTGCTCTGAGCTCCTCAATTTTATTACTAAGAGAGACCAGAGTTTCACAGGTTGCCACTGGTGTCCTCTTCCACTCCTCTATGACGGCATCACGGAGCTGGCGGATGTTGGAGACCTTGCGCTCCTCCACCTTTCGTTTGAGGAGGCCCCACAGATGCTCAGTAGGGTTTAGGTCTGGAGACATGCTTGGTCAGTCCATCACCTTTACGCTTCTTCAGCAAGGTAGTTGTCATGTTGGAATACTGCCCTGCGGCCCAGTCTGCTCTCTCTCTTTTTGTCTGCTGTTCCTGTCTGTCTCTACTGCAGAGTTAATTACAAACCAGACATTTGTGTGTCACTGTTTTCTTCCTACCTCTACCTCCCTGTCTCTGTCAGGCCTACAGCAGCACCCTACCTCACAGCACTGGTACTGGAAGACCGGGTGTCTCTGGCTCTACTGATTCCAGCAACATCCTAGTTCACGAACACAGTATAGGATGTAACCATTGCAAGAAAATGTTTTCTCACACACTGCTCTCAACATTGGAATACACATGAATGGAGACAAGTAAGTCTGGTAAATGGCAGATGTAGAAAGGATTATGGTTTTCTGTTCTGACAAAAGTAACTTTACTGACAAATATATTATGTTAAACTCTCTCGGATGACGTGTTTAATTTTGACTGAATGTCCAAATTTAAGTAACCTAATCGAGTTGGTCAGCCCATCTCAGGACCGGGCCAGCCGTAGCCAACTGGGCCAAATGCTTAATATATTTATTACTATAATATTATTTGGCATATTAGTATTATAGATAACCATAGTAAACAAAAAGCAAGTGTTAAAACCCAATCGACACAGTTGTCCTATAAAAAATATTTATTTATATATTTGTGTTTCCCACAGTATGTTTATATTTCTAGCATCTTTGGTTATTTCTTGTTTAACCATTTTAATTCTACTTCATTCTCCACATTTATTTTAGTGTTTACTCACTAGTCTACTTGAACCTGCTCTCTTTGCCTTCAGCTCTAATATTCCGTAACACAGCGGCTTGCCTTACCTCTTTCTTTTTCTCTCTCCCTGTATTGGTGGGCCCTCCCTAGACTTTCTCCATCAGCAGTGGGCTGTTTTATAAAGTGGCCAAAAAGACAGAGCACTCGCAATTTCCACCTGCGATTCTGTTTTCAGCCGCAGGTGCGCGGAGGAGGTTTGTTAACGAGGAAGACTATTGAAACCGAAAACCAACGTTGTACCCAGATACACCTGCACCGGTGTGTTACCTGTTGCTTTACCCGTTGCTTTACCTGCAAGGACTTGTTTTTGCTCATTTCTTTTCTCCCAGATGAGCTCATTTTCATGGTCTTAGGTAATGTTCCTCGTTTACACTCCTTTTAACAAACTCCTCATAAACCTAATTGTTCTTTTCATCGCTGAAAAGGAAAAATCTAGTAAAATTGCAAGAAAGATGTGTAGAGATATCCAGGCAATTAATCTTCTATGGCCTTTTTGCCTAAGTAGTACACACGATGGCCCGTTAAGTGAACAAACAGCTTTACTGTCATGTTAATGATGTGTTTGGACTCTCTTAGCTGCCGAGAGAAGCAGCAGATGTTTGTGAACAAACTGTCTGTTTCATCTGATTTCACCATTTAAACAGTAACCGTAATATAGCTACTCCTTTGTGGCCCGGGGAGAAAGTCCCAGACTCCCTTCAACAATCCTGCAGTTTAGTGACTTGTTGAGTTAGAGGACACTTTAGAAACTTTGTGAAACGCTGTCTACGACAAACTCTTAATGATTCTGCCTTCTTGTAAATTCAACATTAAATGTGACACATGAAGTTATTTCTGTCTTTGTTGTACAAAAATTCAGCAGGATATTTTCATGAGCCTCTGATGTGATAATAACAAGCGCTTCATTAAAACTCTGCTCTGTGTGAAGCACACTCCCTCATACACATCAAATATGATCAGCTGGTTTCAGGAAACCAACTAACTAAACTTCATCTTCTGCCTGAAATCAAGGAGCCATGTTTCTAAACGGCCGTAGCGACAGTAACTAAGGGGCGGGGCGAGTGACATCGCGAGAACACTCCGCGGGATCCCGCAGCGCTCCTGTATCTCAGCCTGAAGAGCTCCGAGACCAGAATCCAGACTCAGTCCAGGACAACACGGTCCACCAGTCACAGCGGAGACCTGCAGGACGATGGAGAACCAGAACCCGGACCGCAGGAGCCAAACAGCAGCCTCGTGCTCTGATAGCGCCGATGTTCAGGTCAGTGTTCATGACTTCATCACGAGACTAAAGACACGAGGAAGAGTCTCGAGGGTCCGTGTATCATCCGTTCATTCTGTTGTTAGAGATCAGAGCCTGAAAACCCGCTCCAGGGTTTGTGTTGACGTGGTTTGATTTCCAAAGTGTCTCCGTGGTTCCTGTTTTCATCTTGAAGAGAGGAAGCTGAAAGAAAAACTCACGAGCGTTTTTCTTTTCTTTGTGCTGTGAGTTTCCCGCGTTGCGCATGCGCGGTGCAGCCCGTGTTGTGTCGGGAGCGCGCAGCAGAAACAATTCTGGTGAAAAGTGAAGCAGAGTCATTATATTTCCTCGTGTGTTGGTGAGTTTATCACAGTGACAAACAGTCTGCCTGCGTTATTATTCTCTGAATGACCTGAGACAGGAACGAACATGAGCTGCAGTTACTTCAGCTGTTTCTGAAGTTACACAACAATTTATTTATTTTATCAGTTACATGCTTTCAATGGTAATCTAATACAACCTGCACAACAGCTTGATCAAAATGTGTGACAATCAGTAATCCTGTTAAATAATAGTGATCTCAAGTTTGACCAAAACAATCCTGATTGTGATCATTACCATAATCAAGCAGCTGTAGCTGCCATATAATGCAGTGGGTTTGATGACTGACCTGAATATTTTATTACAGCAGGCTGTAACTGGTGGTTGAATGTTTATATTGATCTCTTGATACCATAGAAAGCCCCTTTATGCCCTGTCTTTCACAGCCAAGCAAAAATTTCCTCACATTTCAATGATTTGTTTGACACATTGCTGTGAAGCTGGTTTTGTTTCTCTTCTGGAAAATGAACATGATTTTGGGTTGGTTGATTGTTAGGGTCCAGATTGACAGGAGTTTGTGTGTTGCTGTAACCGCCCCACTTCAAGTTATTTTATGTCCCTTCTAGTTTATCATTGTGATCTGGTTGGAAATCTGTGACACGACCCCCATAAGGTTTTTTTTAAGACAAAGACCCCCCGATCTGCACATCACTAGAACCCACCTATGCAGCACATCTTACTGAGTATTGTGCACATTAAATAGCAGTGAAAGTAACGCAAAAGCAATTTGCAATTTGCAATTTTGACACTTCAATTATCAGAAAAATTACAAAAATCTAATGTTTTTCTAAAGTTAAAGGTGAGTACATATATGGGAGAGGTCCTGTATTTATATGGTATGCTTTTATGCTTCAACCTTTTGTGTGTAAAAAAAAAAAAAATTACAACTTACATTTATGAAGAAGACAAAGATTTGTTACAAATCACATGACTGTGAGAACAGCGAACTTTTACAAGTGACGAACTGTATTGTTCTGCATAACAACAAGGAGACAGTATATCATTGGGGTTTTTTGGGGGGCGGGGTTGTTTTTATTCAGTGTCCCATGCTTCAGACATGAATAAATCAGTTCAGTTCAACTTTTAGACTCCGAGTCTATTAGATAAACATGCAACATTATAGACCCACAACACATCTTAAAATAAAAAAAGGACAAACAAAATTTGAATTAAACATTTGCGCTTTTTTAAACTAAAAGGTAACAACAACTGACTAGATAATATAGGATTATTGTCATCACTAAACTGAAGTGGAAACAGCTTCACTGCAGCACAACAGCTGTCCAAGAATAGCGAAGCAGCACAAACACGTGAAACGAAAGTATCTCGCAGCACTTTGTCTAGACGGCAGCACCGCAAATCATTTTACTTTTGTTGCCACATAAGCACGGCACATCTTCAGCACTAGGACACGTAGTATTTCTTCATTGCCTTCATGTTGAAAGTAATTTCTGCCCGCTGCTGTCATGGAAACGTAACGTTACACCGCGAGTCATGTAACGATCAGCTGTTTCATATCGAGTCCTTTCAGGTGTTCACTGATTCAGAAATACATTTTATTATCATACTGCATTACTTAATATTGAAATTAATCCATGGCAGAAACATTTAAAGTTTTAAGTAAAGTAGCCTAATTAATGTCTGTTATTGTTATTATCACAACACATCAGTGACGTGGAAATTTGATTCATTTTAAGATTTGCTGCAATTGTCGTTATTCTAATGTAATTCATCTGGATGATTGAATAAAATATAGATTTATTGATAAGACATGTTTTTGGTATTTATTTTGGTTAAATTGGTTTGTTAATCGAGTAATAGGCAACTTTTCTTTCTTTGATGTCTGTGGAACATATGCTGTGTTCCAGATATCCAACCGACCTCAAAGCGTTTCAGGTGCATGACGCTAAATGTAAATCAGTGTAAATGTCATCAGTTGGTAATCAAAAGCTTGGGTACAGAAGATGACTTTCAGAGATTGTTTACCATCACCAGCTACCTAATAACATTTACAATGTGTGCTTCCATGGGAGCTGCCATTGTTGTGCGACGTCATTCGGCAGCTGCTCGTGAAGTTGGGTATTTAATTTTTCCTCTAACTTCACAAGTAGTAGTGTAGTTTTACAGTACTTTTCTAGGAGGTCGGAAATTTCCCTGTTCTGAGTTGCCTGGAATGGAGCAAGAGCCCACAAGGTTCAAGCTTGACTAATGCATTAGCACCTGTGACAACCAACTGTAGGTGTGTTTCCACAGAGGGGTCTAGAGTGGCACTGACCTCTATAGGAACTTGATTTGCAACTTTTTCTGGTTGACATGATTGCTGTTTTGAAAACTTCTTTGGAATTACTTTAAAATCTTTTCAAAATTGTGTTTTGCCCTATTTGGCATGATTTCCAAAGTGTTTTTTAGTCCTCTACAAAATCGCAAAGCATCCGTATTTATATTTCCGTAATAATACATTAATTTTATGAAAAATCACGTGGTGCGACAATCAACAAACAACCACTTTGGGACTTTTATGTTGAAATCCATTAGAAGACAGGAAGTTGAATAATGTACCATTTGCCAAGGACCCATTGAAACAGGAAGTATGTTTGTAACTCTCTCAAATCTGGAAAAATTTAAAATAGTAACAGCTGGTATGTAGTTGTCACTTTTGGATATCATGTGGTATGACCTCAGAAAAACAATATATTTCTACGTTGTCTATGAAGATTCTCAGTCATCCAGGTCATAGTTATCCAACGAAGGTTAAAATGAAGGGCAACTGGACTTGGTTGAAGCTACTGGAAGACGTTTCGTCCCTTATCCAAAGGACTTCTTCAGTTCTGACTGACTGGCAGGGAAACTCAGCTACTTAACCTCAGTGGGGTCCAATGCAGTGAGGAATGCACAGACCTGTATATTGGGGAGACTAAACAACCACTACACAAACGCATGGCTCAACACAGAAGGGCCAACTCCTCAGGTCAAGACTCTGCTGTCTACTTACATCTGAAGGACAGAGGACACTCGTTTGAGGACCACCAGGTGCACATTTTAGACAGAGAAGATGGATGGTTTGAAAGAGGTGTCAAGGAAGCATCTACACCAGGGTTGAGAAGCCGTCATTGAACAGGGGAGGGGTCTACGCCACCACTTATCCCCCACTTACAATGCTGTCCTTTCATCACTTCCCAGGAAACTCAACAAACGTAACCTATTGGCCTCAGGTGAAGATACCAACCATGGTCGTTCAGTCTTGGCCACAGGTAGTCTTAACGACTGTAACGACACTAACGAACCAGCGGTATCGATGACCCGGGATAACGACCCCACTGAGGTTAAGTAGCTGAGTTTCCCTGCCAGTCAGTCAGAACTGAAGAAGTCCTTTGGATAAGGGACGAAACGTCTTCCAGTAGCTTCAACCAAGTCCAGTTGCCTTCATTTTAACCTTTGTTGGATAATATATTTCTACCAATATTTGTTTTGATTATAAATTCCATGGAGTCCTTTTTTAAGGAAGCTAGCTTGTTTTGTTCAGGTGGCCTTTTCTCTGCCTGTAAATTTTGACTAAATTTAGAAAATATCATGTGGTGCGACCAAATATCATGCGACTGTTGAAAAGTGGTTTCCATGATTGCCAATTTAGTTTTTGTCCTTTTTATATCTTATTATTATTATTATTATATCCTTTTATTGTAGTATAATTTGGAATAGATTTTTCTGCAATTCAGATTCAACAACCCCAATTCCAGTGAAGTTGGGACGTTGTGTAAAACGTAAATAAAACCAGAATACATTCACTTGCAAATCCTTTTCAACCTATATTCAATTTAATACACTATAAAGGCCAGATATTTAATGTTCAAACTGATTAACTTTATTGTTTTTGGCACATATTCACTCACTTTAAATTTGATGCCTGCAACACTTTAAAAAAAAAAAAGCTGCACAAAAAACTACTTTATCTTAGGTTTACACTGGTCTAATTAGTGTCAACTGCTTCTAGATAGCTCGCTCCACCATGACCTCTCACTGTCTTTCTCTCTTTGTCTGTTGCTATAGAACGGAGGGGACTCAAACGTCACAGCTGTCAGCACTGTGACAAATCCTTCACAAGATCTGGATCTTTAAAGGTTCATCAGAGAGTTCACACTGGAGAGAAACCGTACAGCTGTGACCAGTGTGGGATAAATTTCGCTAGATCAGGTGAACTAAAAAAACACCAACGTGTTCACACTGGAGAGAAACCGTACAGGTGTGTGCAGTGTGGGAAAAGATTCTCTCAATCAAGTACCCTTCAAAAACATCTACGTATTCACACTGGAGAGAAACCTTACAGCTGTGGGCAGTGTGGAAAAAGTTTCACTACATCCAGTACTCTAGTAAAACACAGACTTGTTCACTCCGGAGAGAAACCGTACCGGTGTGAACAGTGCGGGAAAGCTTTCACTGCATCAGGTAACCTAAAACTCCATCAACATGTTCACACCGGCAAGAAACCGTACTGTTGTGAACAATGTGGGAAACGTTTCTCTCAATTAGGTGGCCTAGAAACACACAGACGTCTTCACACCGGTGAGAAACCGCACTGGTGTGAAACATGTGGGAAAACCTTTACTAATCTTAGTAGCCTTAAACACCACCAACGTCAACATCACGCTGCTTAGTTTTGGGAAAAGAGCCAAGCGAGCTGTTTCCTCCTGCCTCCTACTCATGCTGTCTCTGTAATAAGCCTGAATGTAAACCTCTTCTAGAAAAATCCAGTGCTGGTTTGAATGGACCTCTGTGCACTAACTCAGTCCTCAAAGGCTGATAAGACTGGGGCCAATCTGGTGGAGCAGCAACTGTTCCAGTAGGGTCTGAGCTGCTTGTATCTGGCGGCGCTCATACTGGCTGTGGATCAATAGTGTTTGTACTGGCTGACCAGCATCTACTCTGCTGACAAACTGAAGCATAGCCCTTGTCAATTCTTTATATATATATACTGGATTTATATTAATGTTCTCAGCAGCATCTGGCCCTTTCAAACTGGCTCCCCCTAGTTTTCAAATGTAAAATACTATGTATACTTTGCCATGACTGAATATGTGATGCTTATTAAATGAAGTATGTCCAAATTAAACAGTCTGCCCTGCTAATCAACATTTTAATCACTGTCAATCCACTATTTTCCATCTTGCATTAGTCCAGAGTTGTAACTAAACATCAACTGAGAAACAGATGATCAGATGAGGAGTAACTGCACAATAACTTAACATCAGGCTGCTGTTATGGGCCGACATCAGACTTTGAGAGGCGAGAACAAGTTTACCTGACTGCTGTTTCTGAAAGTCACTCTCATTGAGTTTTCTTTCTCTTTTTGTGCACATCCTCTCATCGACGTTTCAGAATGGTTATAACATGTTGTTTCACGTTAACAAAGAGTTTAATTTTCAAAGTGTTCGCGGATGTTGCAGATGTATTGTTGCTAACAAACGCGGAGCCCTAAAAGTCCAAAATTTACTCCAAAGGCGTGGTGGGAGCGAGGGTCTCGGTGTAGGTCAAAGTTCAGACAAGAATACGGGATTTGAACAAGAAGACGATAACATGAATTAATGGCGCAGCAGAGGCAGCTAGTTGGTAACCACAGGTCACACAAAAAAGGTTGAAAGCATAAAAGCATACCATATCCATACAGGACCTCTTCCATATATGTACTCACCTTTTAACTTTAAAAAAACATTTCTACCAATATTTGTTTTGATTATAAAGTTACTGGAGTCCTTTTTGTAGGAACCTAGCCTGTTTTGTTTAGGTGGCCTATTCTCTGCCTGTAAATTTTGACTAAATTAGAAAATATCATGTGGTGCGACTGTTGAAAAGTGTTTTCCATGATTGGCAATTTAGTTTTTGTCCTTTTTTTTATTTTTTTTTATTTTTATTTTATTTTTATATCCAATTTATGGACTTTTACATTTAAAGTACTTTTATTGTAGTATAATTTGGAATAGATTTTTCTGCTATTTGACACACTTTTTCTTATATTTCAGAAACAACAAATTGTTTTTAGTCTTTGTACAATATCATGAGAAAATGCAAAAGAAATATTTATTTAGAGCTTGTAAATTGAAATTGTTGAAGTTGAACATGGGGTGGTGATGGTACAGTGGATAAGACACATGCCTTTGGTGTGAGAGACCTGGGTTTGAATCCACTGTGAGACACCAAGAGGCGTGCAACCTCTGACGTATATAACAATTGTAAATCGCTTTGGATAAAAGCGTCAGCTAAATGATTTTTTTATTTTTTTTAGTGATGTGGGACAAAAATGTTATTCCTTGCAGCTGAATAATCTTATCTTTAAAAATAAGCATTTTATTAATGTTTGTTTTCTATAAAGATCAATGCCCACATTGTTTTATTCTGTTTTCTTCTATTGTGTTTGTAGACATCCTCAATAAAAAGATGCATTAATCATGCTTGATTTGTTCTTGTTTTTCTATTTGTGCCTGAAAGTGCGAACGTACTTATTTGTCGCCATTGTTGGGAGTAATGTGTTACAAAAGTAATGCAATTACATTTATGTCTTGCCTTTTGCTGTAACACAGTAGTATCACGCATTACTAAATAAAAATCGGTAATATTATACCCGTTACAATATCAGTAACGGATGTTACAAACACATTTTAACCTGGTGTTTTGTTTTTTCAATAGTTCACCTACACAGATGACAAACATTTCAGCAGCACAAAAAACAAATCCATGAGTGAAAGAGTAGAGTTATTTGCTGTTGCGGGAATCAGACAGTTGAAATTGTAGGCAGGGTGCAAACTAAAGGGGAGCTCGGCTCTCCTTAACAAGAAGGTAGCTCCCCTCATGTGTAAATTGATTTTTTTTTTTTTTTTATAGACTGTTTTGTGCTTTAATAAATTACTTTCCTGATCAGAGAGGCTGCTGTCAGTTCATCCTGAGCGATCGAGTCGGGAGATTAAAATAAACAATGACATTATGCTGCTGTACTTTGTGTGTAAATACACACAGCGTCTTTCTTAATGGGGACATGATTCATCCTAATTCACCCATCTACCCCCACCCACCCGCTACTTATCAGGTTATTTTATGACTAAGAGCCACCCGATCTGCGGATATAACTCTGCATATCACGAAAACCCACCTATTCAGTCACATCTTACTATCTGGATAATACACACATTAAATAGCAATTAAAGTAACTCAAGAGTAACGCAAAGTTAGTGTAAAGCATTACAATTCAGAGAAAGTAATATTGTAATATAACTAATTACTTTCAAATGGCAGTAACTAGTAATCTATCAGAGATGGGGACTCGGACTCGAGTGCGACTTAAGTCGCGCACACACACAGTGACTTCAGACTCTACTTGAGACGTGTCCTCAAAAGACTTCAGACTCGACTCGGACTCAAACGATGTTTATTTTTAGGAAACGTCTGATGAGCTTGCTGTTATTCCCCTCCCTGCGTTTCCTATAACCTGCCTACGTAACACGTAGGATCAGCTGTGCGCGGCCACACGTGGGAGAGGACAACCCGGCAGCTGCTCCGCCATTCATCATAAACTTTGGCTTTAAAACTTCATAAAACAAGACCAAAGAAAGACGCGCTGAACGTAAATAGGTTAGAAACCTGAGGTTAGTAAACCTGTTTCTCAGCATTGGCCATCTAACGTTAGCTTGCTTCTTGCTTTATCTACAACCTATGAGAGGTTAACTCCGACTGTCATTTGTTATGAATATTGGATAAGCGTGTGTTTACTTGCCAAACTTGTGGCAGTTCATTAATGTAATTATTTACATCCCTCTGGCTGCCATCACATAAATTATTACCGCTGGCTGGAAAGAGGTTATAGGTTTATTGTTGATCATGTAACCTACAGTTTTATGTAGTTATAACTTACACTGGGTTTGAGAGTCTGGGGAGTGTGTTGACTTACATTAGTTTATAAGCTGACATTAATTGCATTGCACATTACATGGTTGTAACAGTTACAGAATTCCTTATAACTATGCAGTTTTATTAGCAACCTGGATTGAACGCAGCAGGTGATACAATATTCGTAATAACCACGAGAGACTTGAGACTTGATTCAGAGATTTGAGAGCATCTCTGTAATCTATAATGTATTATATTTTGGAAGTAACTTCCCCAACACTGATTAACACTAACTTGACCGCTGGAGCCTTACTAGTCCAAAAAAATGACATCAAGGGTTCTAGACCATTTTACTTGGGCATGTGCCCCATTAAAAAGGGTCTGGACAACAGTTAACTTTATATTCTGAGCAGCATGTATGTTGTTTTGACTGCATCTGCACACTGACCAGCCCCTCCTCTCCCCAAAATCCTGCTGTGCAGTGAGACCACTAGGGCTGTGAACCACCAGAGACCCACGATACGAAATGATCACAATACTATTGCCATGTCAAACATATTGTGATATTCTACAATATGGGATAAACGTACCTATTAAGCTCATGTACCCATTACATCACCAACTTTGAATTCAGATTATGTATAAAAAAAAATAAAAAATAAAAAGTCTTATGTCATATTTGACATCTTAAAGTATGTGTTTGTTACTACATACCTTGTGTCATTTTAAGCCAATTGAATACTGAGATATGGATATCCGTATGTTAGTGCTTGCTGGTGGTTGAACCTTTATTATGGGTAAGTTTAACTTTTTATCGCATAATCAAGCTCATTAAGTAGTCATTAAATTCAAATTACGTAAAGAAAAAAAAATTCATATTTGTTACCTTAAACAATTTGTGTTTGATACCCCGTGTAATTTTAAGCCAATCGGACAATTGAATACTGAAATATGGGTATCCTATGTTCAGCTGTTCAACTTTGATCAGAAGATAAGGCCCCTGTGTTCATAATTTTTAGATGTTTGAACCTTAATTATGGGTATGTTTAACATTTTATCGCATAATTAAGCGATTAATGTTTAGAAATATGCATAGTATTTCTTGTGTCTTAGATGTGGGGGGAAAAGTTACAGGAAAATTAAAAGCCTGATCAAAAAGCATGGGTATTGCATAGGTGTGCCTTAGGATGGCCACAATAAAAAGGCCACTCTAATGTGCAGTTTCATCACACAGCCCAATGCCACAGATATCGCAAGTTTTGAGGGAGCACACAATTGGGATGCTGACTGCAGGAATGTCCACCAGAGCTGGTCCCCTGAATGTTCTAGATGAGGACACCCAGACACCCCATTTATATATTTTAGCATTGAATATTTAATCAAAATAGTGTTAATATCTTTTGGTCTTGGTTCTCATGAACCCAATATTGTGAATCGTGCATGTGAGCTAAGTGTATCATCACACCCCTAATCTGTCCCCACCACTTTTCAACACAAAGTGACTTACTTGATTCATTTTATATTATCAGATTACAAACACACCCCAAACATCTGTGGTGTATTAAATATGAATGTATTATAATAAAATGTTTTATTACATTCAAGTAACTTCGTTAATAATAATTTCTCAGGTTTAAATTCATACAGATTTTCTTTTATACAGCAGTTAAATTTCATCCAAGGTGGTATTAAAAAAGGTCTTATAAATTCTTAAATTTAACTTGGAGAATCCTGGAAGTACTCTGATAAAACTGTTTATTCGCACATGTATGTAATTTCTGCTCTTTCCCAATGTGGCAGGGGATTAACCAGATCTGATCTCTTACACGTGGTGCAACAGTATGTGCAGGCAAATGATCCGAATCTATTAAATAGTATTATGCTCACTACTATGACTGACATTAAATAAGATGCTTGGGTCACCCCTACACACACATACACACACACACACACACACAGGCTCACCTCGGACCACTAACCCAGGCTATGAGGTGAATTGTTTTCCTCCTTGTGTTTGAGAATAAACCATAAATTTTCTGTCTGAGTTGCAGAGATAACAGTTTAACACAATTTAATAACAGACGCATGTAACTAGTTTGTATCGCATTTTGAACGCACTGGCTTAAAAGATCTGAGATGTAAATGCTCCGTAAATGCTCCGAACTTGTAAAGCGCCTTTCTAGTCTTTTCGACCACTCAAAGCGCTTTTACACTAAATCTGCATTCACCAGTCGTACACATTCATACACTGAGCCTACAGACAGAAATGTCAAATGTCACAACCATCCCCGGTCTCCCCCCTACTACACAAAACGCTTGAATGTCCCTTCAATCTGAATGAAATAATCCATTTTAATCACTTGTTGCTTGATTCTACTAAATTAGTATTTGTTATTGACTTTTTACCTTTCACATAAAACTTATTTCAATTATTCCTACAAAGTCTTTTGTTAAATAAACAATCGTTTTCAATAAGACAAACTCTTGTGAGCTTATTTGGAACAGGTCTGTGCTTAAAGGGTACCGAAATGTACCCAATAAGCACAGCCAGACTTTTTACATTTAAAGATGAATATCTTCTTTTAA